TTTCTTCTCTTCATTTTTGTACTTTGTTGTTGTTTTGGTCATTTATTTGTTGTTGGTGCTATCAATAAATAATAACAACTATATTAATAACAACAACAAAAACCATCCAACCAACCAACCAACCAACCAACCAACCAACCAACCAACCAACCAACCAACCAACCAACCAACCAACCAACCAACCAACCAGCCAACCAACCAACCAACCAACCAACCATCCAACCAACCATCCAACCAACCAACCGACCAACCAACCAACCTGAAAACAGCCAAAACTACGGTCAACCAGATGGACACGCTATGAACAACGACGCTAAAATTAGCATAGAAGAGAACATATCTGACAGCGGCTAAGTTGTTCCGGTAGAGAACATACTGTAGAAGCGCGAACGGAAAGTAAGCTAGCATGGTCAGCTCGTCGAAGACGGCTAGCCCGGTGAGGATCGAGTTAGTGGCTGATTTCATATTCTTTCTCGTCAGCACGATTATGTTGAGTATGTTTGCTGTAATGCCAAACGAGCAAACCATTATTGCGACATAGCCGTGATGATACCTGTACATAGATTCGAACGAGTGGAGTAGAGTTAGTGATGGCGGTGGAGAGGGGAAAGATAGGAACGATGGTGGAGATGATGATGATAAGGAGAGGTATGGTGATGATGATGGTGATGGGGAGAGGTATGATGATGATGATGATGATGATGATGATGATGATGATGATGATGATGATTGGGAGAGGTATGGTGATGATGATGGTGATGGGGAGAGGTATGATGTTGATGATGATAATGGGGAGAGGTATGAGGATGATATTGAGGCTGTTAGTTCTCCGGACATTCTGTCATTCTGTTGTGTTAAGGATGATTGTGTGTGGTGAGGATTGTGTGTGAGGATTGCGATGATGATGATAATGATGATGATGATGCTGATGACGATAGTCATTATGATGATTGTGATGATGACGATAACGACGACGATGAAGACGATTCTTATTAAACTGGCAGCGATGATGATGACCGCGCAAAATGTTACATGAAAAAAGGTCATTCAACGCGCGAATGTTGAAAGACAATTTTGAAAAATTATGTTAATAACAATAATTACGATAACCACAAACAACAACAACAACAACAACAACAACAACAACAACAACAACAACAATAATAATAATCACATTATAACATTAAAATCGCAAAGGCAAAACTTTTTGTTTAGTTAAAATACTCTTTCTTCTCGTTTTCTCTCTTGCCGTTCTAATTGGAAAAAAAAACGCCGTCACAATAATAACAATAATAATAATAATAATATTATTATTATTATTAATAAAAATAATAATAATAATGATGATGATGATGATGATAATAATAATAATAATGATGATAATAATAATAATAATTAAATAAGAGCAAAGGAATGATGAGGAAAAAATCGGAAATTATTTTGTCAATGGCGGTTGTCGATCTTGAAAAGGATTTTTTTTTCCCTCTCTTGGTAGACCGACCGACCGACCGACTGACCGACTGACCGACCGACCAACCAGCCAACCAACCAACCAACCAGCCAACTAACCAACCAACCAACCAATCAGCCAACCAACCAACCGACCATCCATCCAAACAACCGACCAACCAACACATGTATGCATAGGAGTAACAACCATAAAGAATTGTTATTACGCTTTAATGCACTAATAAGATGGCGTTTTGGACTCCAATCCCCCCCCCCACACACACACACAAACACACACACACACACAAACACACACAAACACCACACACACATATGATAATTTGGTCCATAATGAACTTTAAAGTTTGCAATTTTGGCATCAATTAAATTGCGGATTATAAATTTTTGCGCGGTAATTTTAGGCGGGTAAATAAATTGCATTTATGTTGGCGTATGTATGCTTGTATGTATGTTTGTATGTTTGTTTGTATGTTTGTATGTTTCGCCATGAAAATCATTATCAACATGAGCAGAATAAATACTTGACACAAATTGAAAAACTCAAAAACTTAAAACAAAACTAAAAAATACAAAACTCTTCATGCTTTTTTTCAAAAAAATATTTTATTACCAAACTTGAAACCCCAAAAGTATAACAAATTGCAGTTTTAAAGAACAAACAAACGAACGAACGAACAAAAAATAGAATAAACAAACAAACATACAAATAAACAGACAAACATACATACAAACAAACAAATAAACAGACAGACAAACACACCTACACACTCCCTCAAAGATTGTTAAAGTATATACCATCAATTTGTCATCGTTAAATTCTTCGTATCTTAGTCATTAATTATTTTCTACTTAAATTTCTCTCAAGAACTTTTCTTATAGCTACCATTAAATATCTTTTTACACACACACACACACATACACAAACACACACACACACGTACACACACAGACACACACCGACACACACACATACACACAGACAGACAGACAGACATAGACACACGCACACACATATACATACACACAAACAGGCAAACATACACACATATGAAAAACAGACACATGCACACATACACGCACACATACAAATACCTAAAATTTACCAAAAACAGTGAAATAACAGAAGGAGCTAAACTTTTTTATTCAAAGTTTTATTTCCAGTTTTACTGTGGCCATAACGCAATTATACCAGGTATAAAAATATTATAAAACCGTCATACCAAAACAATAATTTAAATAAATAAAATCTTAGTAGTAGTAGTGGTAAAGCAGCAGTAGTAGTAGTAGTAGGTAGTAGCAGTAGTAGCAATAGTAGCAGTAGTAGTAGCAATAGTGGTAGTAGTAGTAGTAGCAGTAGTAGTAACAGTAGTAGCAATAGTAGTAGCTGCAGCAGCAGTAGTAGTGGTAGTAGTAGTAGTAGTAGAAGCAATAGTAGTAGTAGTAGTAGTATTGTTAACGGAACATCAGACCACGTCATATTAACGACCATCTCGAAAAGAAGATTTCATTTGCATTTGAAGTCGGTTTTCAAGGCATCGAAAGCCATCAAGAGAGCAACATAAAACCCGCCAAGCAAACTACTTAAGAGCCATTATCATCCTCTACAAAAATGCCAACAGCTAAACCGGAAGTTGAACTGAAGTTTACTTTTAAAAGCAAAAAAAAAACATTACTTCTCAGAGGTACAAGTCGGTGTGTGTTTATCTGCATATGAAACTGCCTTTAGCATCAACGTCATCTGGATAATTATTATCATAATAATAATAATAATTATTATTATAATAGTAATTATGAAGTAATAATAATTATTATTACTTTTGTTTTGATAAAATTAACACGCTGGGATCGCATTGAGAGCCATCTTTATCAACTAAATGTGTAAATAAAAACATCTCTACTTTCACTTTTACTACTACTCCTACTACTATTACTATCACTACTACTACCACTACTACTACTACTACTACTACCACTACTACTACACTATTACTACTACTACTGCTACTACTACTACTACCACTACTGCTACTACTACTACTACTACAACTGCTGCTACTAGAAAATTTTGCACTTTTTTTGCGTTTCAAAAATTTTTATTCTATAAATTACATTTCCTTCATGTTGCATTGACAAGCGGATAAAAAAAATTTTTTCTGATACACATTATCGTGTCAAAAACACATTTTTTGGGGTATTGTCTGGTGTTTTTGTGTGTATTTTTGTGAATGTTTGTATATTTGTTTGTTTGTATGTTTGTTTGTGTGTATGTTTGTATGCTTGCTTTGGCATTGTTTGGCTTGTTTGATTGCATTTAGGTGTATTTATGTATTTCCTGTATGTACATTGTTTCTGTTTGTATTGTATTTTATTTTTGACCTGATGAGGTTCAAAATTTTTTGCACTGCTTTGACTTGAAATAAAAAAGAGCAAATAAAAAAACATTCAGAGAGAAAAAAAAGAAAAAGAGAGAGAAAGTGAGAAAGAGAGAGAGAGAGAGAGAGAGAGAGAGAGAGAGAGGACTAAAAAGTGAGACTAAATAAGAGTAACTACAAATGTATGAGTAGTATTATTTGTGAGCCAAGCACGGGTTATACAATCAAGATGAAACAACTAGATTTATTAAGCAGAGCAGCTTTCAATTATAATTCATCTAATCAACAAATCAACCGTGAACTATTGTATACCAATCATAAAACTTTGTTTATCAATCAAAGAACTTTGTATACCAATCATAAAACTTTGTATGTCAATCAAATAACTTTGTATACCAATCATAAAACATCTTATGTCAATCAAAAAGCTGTAATGCAGAGGTATTTTATAAAAAAAAACAAAAAGAGAGAAAAATATTTGATAATACAACCAAAAAACGATCACATACATAGAGTACACCGTCGAATTTGACGAATTGGATCAGCGGTGAGCCCTAGAATGATAAAAAAAAAAATCCTTTCCTTGACTGACATTTTTGTGTACATGTTCTACAGATCCACACATACATACCTACCAATACACATACATACATACACACACACATACATACATACATACATACATACATACATACATACATACATACATACATACATACATACATACACACACACATATATACATACATCCAAACATACATACACACACACACATACATACAGACAGGCAGACTTACAAACATACATACATACAAACATATG